AGGTCAGAGGACAACTTTCAGGACCCAGTTCCATCGTGGGTTCTGGGGATCAAATTCAGACTTGCATAGCAAGTATTTTTACTCACTAAGCCACTTTACCAATCCTAAGATGTGGTTCTTTCATATTTTTTTAAATGTGTGTATGTGTGCGTGTGTGTGTGTGTGTGTGTGTGTGTGTGTGTGTGTGTGTGTGTGTGTGTGTGTGGGTGTGTGTGGGTGGGTGCGCGCGCGCTCGTGTGCACGCGTGCGCTCGTGTGCACATGCACTCATGTACTTGTGTATAAGAAGCCCAGGTGAGAGAGTCAGATCCCCTGAAGCTGGAGTTACAAGTAGTGAGCCATACAATATGAGTGTTGGGAACTGAACCCGGGCTTTCTGCAAGAGCAGTACCTTCTCTTAACCACTGAGCCATCTCTTACCCTAAGACATGGTTCTTAAAGGGGTTCCCAAACTAGCACCATCATCATCACCTGAGAGTTGGTGAGAAAGCCAAATTGTTGGGCCCCAACTCAACAAATCAGAAACTCTTGAAGTGGGCACAATAATTTGTTTTTCTAAGCCTTGCAAGTAATTCTGATTCATATTAACATTAGAGAACCACTGCTTTAGGGGAAGACTTATTCTAGTTAGAACAATATACTAAGTCATAGGTAGACTTCTATATTAAGATAGAAGACCATTTAACTAATTTGAAACTTGTCCCAGATCCACTAGAGACAATAAATACCCTTAGAAATTCAAGATGTTGAAAACAGATTAAAACACTACTTGTCAGAGAACCACAAAAGAACTGTCTGTATTTCCATTAACTCCAGGACACAGGCTTTCCAGGAAAGACAAGAAATAAAATAAGATACAGGTGTTGGCACATCACTGCTGGCTTAAGTATGGTGTCTAGAAACACCAACAGATGTTTTAAGTAGGTTACAATCTATTAGCTGCCAGCATTCTTTGAGGTATTATTGTGGCTAATGCTGACCTGTGAGTCACAGGGAATGATATTAACATCTACTTGTCCCCCTGGAACAGCTGTCCTAATCCAGTCTTTCCTACCCATCATCTTTTAAAAATAGAGGAAAGGACTAAGGGTGTGCTATAGATATAGAGTTATTAGCTTTTGTACTGAATAAAAATAGTCTTGAAGGAGAAAATAGAGAAATATTGTGATTAACCAATGAAAGGTTTTATGTGCTCAGTTTAAAAAATGAAGAGATGGCTTAGTTGGTAAAGCGCCTGTTGCACAAGCATGAGGACCTGAGTTCAGATCCCTAGCACCATGTAAAACCAAGTACAGCAGTGTATGTCTGTAACTCCAGCATTTGGGAGCATGGAGATACAAATTGCCAGCTACTCTAGCCAATTGGTGAGTTCCAGGTTCAATGAAAAGCCTTGTCTCAAAAAAAGAAAGAAAAAAAGATAGTGACAGAAGACACCTTTGGCTTCTACATATACACACATACACAAACACATGAATATAAATACACACACACACACACACACACACACACACACACACACACACACACACACACACATACCACATACTTACACAAGACAAAGAACAACTATGAGCTAGGTGTGGTGGGGCCAACCTGTAATAGCAGCATTTGGGAGGTAGAGGCAAAAGGATCAAGAGTTCAAGGCCAGACTCACTTATACTCACTTATATAAGGAGTTCAAAGCCATCCTATCTCAATCAATCAATCAAGGCTTAAATTCCTGTATGTATCTGTTCTTTTATAACATGGCATTTTCTGTTAGGCATGTCTTTTCATGGGGCTTTAAGGGCAATGGATCTCAGAATTCCTGCAGTATCACTGCTGCCTTTGCTCATTACTAAGGGCCATGAGTAGAGCTAGATGGCTTAATTAGGGACTCAGCTATGGCACACAGGTGGTTGTCTTTTGCTTACAGCATCCACCTGGCAAGTATATAAACTCTCACAGAAAACAATGAAAAGAAGTCAGAAAGACCTTTTTAGAAATGACATGTTAGATACCTGTGCCTAGAGTCTGGCTTAACTCCTCTATGCAGCTCTAGCAACATGTTTTGACAGGGATCTATCTGGGCCAGCCTGACAAAAACAGACCTCTCCATATGAGTATCTGGTAGTTTCTGCCAAATGCTGGATACTTTTAAAATAAGGATCACAGCTTACGAGTAATTCTAATTTTTCATTTACTATAATTTCTCAGACTTTAGTGCGATATGCTCACAGTTACTGACACAGTTTCTTTTCTTGTTCTTGCTCCATGTGTCCATGTGTCAAGAAGATGAAATTGCAGCTTTTTGTAAATTGGCCAGCACTTCGAAGCTAAGGAATCGTTACAACCCAGGTGCAATATTCTCTTAGAAGACCCAGCTTCAGGACGGATGGCTAGGACTTACAAGACTGGTCTCCAAGGCTTTTCTTCCTACGGTCACTGTTCCCAAGACAGACTGACCACAATATAACACACATGCACGCACACACTAAGGGTCACACACACACACACACACACACACACACACACACACACACACGCATACGCACACACGCATACGCACACACCTGTTTTAGCAGAACCTGTAGGTGCAGCACTATCACCCTGTCTAAGGATGGTGAAACCCATTCTGACAATATACTGGAGCACAACATAAGAAGATAATAGTTGTAATTTCAGGGGTGGCCATTTGTATAAAAGGCTCTTTCCTAAGGAGGAGAAAGGATAGAGTAGGGAACAGAAAATGTACAAAATACTGCTTACTTTTGGCTATAACACTCAGCACCGCAAAGGTAGACAACCCAGAAGTAGCACACATATGTTCCGGCCCCGGGTCTCCAGGAAATGCCCAATGTCTTGCCTTGTAGAGAAAATCATCTGACGATGCTTTAGTTTCTCAGGAAACAGAATATTTCCTCAACCTCAGCTTGTCTCACTAATGCCTGACATCACACACTTTCAGTCATTTTTAGTGTGAATGATACAAAGTGAGGGAGAGTACTCGAGCAGGTCTTTTTCCATCGGTAGAAAGTTTTGTTTTTTTTAAATGTATCTTGCTAATATAATTTGTATAATTATATTTTATGTGTGGAGGTCAAAGGAAAGTCAGATGTTATTTCTCAGAAGCTGTTCACCTTGGATCTATTTTGAGACAGGGTTTTTCACTGGCATGGAGCTTTGCTAAGTTTGCTAGGCTGGTTGATCAGCAAGCCTCAGGAATCTGCCTGTCTTTGCCTCCTGGTCGAGTGCTGAGATTATACCATACATCACCATATCCAGCTTTTTAAATGGGTTCTAATGATTGAGTTCAGGTCCTCATGCTTGCAAGGGAAGCACTCTACTGACTGAGCTGTTTCCCAGCCATTATGTACAATTTTGACTGAAGTTTATTTTTTCTAGATTCTATTTAGTTAGTTTTAATTCTATGAGTTATTAAGAAGTTAATGTCCAGATACTCTACAAAAAACTTAAGAAAAAAAGGACTCAAAGAACACATATTATTCCACTACAGTTAGCACCTAGACATCTAATTTTGAAAGGGTCATTAAATCAATTTCAGTTAGCCTCTATTCTCTTTTCAAAGCCACATTGCTGCAAAGCTGAGACTTGTTTGGGCTTTTCTTTCCCTGATTACGGGGTCCAGACAGGGCTGAAGAATTAAATCAGGAAAGTACAGGAGCAACTTTCAATGGAACACTTCACCTGTATGATAGCCAGATGGAGGCCCTTCATAAGCATGAAGTCTCTTAGCACTTAGCAATAAACATGATTGATCTGGTTGGCCTAAATTTGCCATGCAAAGAGCCTCCTGTATTAATGAGTAGGAAATAAAAGCAGTACACAGCAGCTTCCTCTGCACACACAGTGTCCATGGGGAGAGAATGAAGGCAATAGAAAATAAATCTGGGCAAACAGAGTAGCTGGAAGGCAGCTGGAACCTATTGTATGGGCCTTCTTTATGCTCAAGTCACACTCCCCTTTGGGTGTGTTATTGGCAAATGTTTCCAACAAGAGCATTTAGTTAAGAACCAGGAAGAACTAATAGATGATTTATAAAGTAGTCACAATTTAGTCCATCCTGCCTGGCTCTTCTTAACAAAATAAGCTTTGAACAGGGAATTAAAACTCAACTGAGAGGGTAGGGCTACCTCTCATAGAATCTATCCAGACAACCAGGCATCTGCCTGTTCTGAGCTCCCTATCCTTCACATCTTCTTGGTTATCAAACTAGCTGCCATCAATCTCTACCCAGCCCTTTCACTTCTAACAGCTCTTTCATCTCTAAACAGCATATTTGGATCTACTTTTCCAGCTCTACCTCAGTCCAACTAGTAGAAAGCACGAGCCTAGTTATCTGCCTAGTAAACCCATACTGGAGAGGAAATGAATCCGTACTTTCTGCCCTGGATCTCCATCGAGACAACTGCTGAGAAAATGGCCAGGCAGTAATATTTTGAATGCCCAAAGCTATAACGTTTATATGATCTATTTTCTGTTACATTAAAATGTGCCAGTATCTGTCTCTCTGTCTGTCTCTGTTTGTCTGTCTGTTTGTCTCTCTCCTTTCTCCTAATAAAGCTCTAAAAAGGTAAAAAAAAATGTGCCAGTAATTCCTATTAAATGGGAATCTCTGATAGTGTAGATACCTATTTTGATAAACTCTTCCCCTTAAGCAGGAAATTCTCATGAAGAATCCTCAACTAGGGAATGTGAAGGAAGAGAAGGTTACAAAAACGTCTTTATGAAGCAATTTCATGTTGGTTCTCTTATCACCGGAACTCCACAGTGCCCATCTGCTGAACTGCCATGTTGCATTGGGGGACATGATGCAGGGGCTTCTGGTAAAGAACAGATGCTTACAAGAACCCAAAGGGCTACTGCTGAAGACTACAGTCAGCTGCTTGACTCTAATGGCTGTATAGCTCACCTGACTAGCTCACCACCTGCTCAAGCAAGGAGCACTAAACTCCATTCTGCTAATCCATTCCCTCCCCATCCCCAAGCAGTTCTTCTTACCTGGCATGATGACATCAGGAAATCCCAATTTTCTTGTAATTGCTAATCCTCTATTAAATATCATGGGATTTTCTCTCCGGATCTGTTCCATGTCACCACGAAAAAGCTGTAGGGAAATAATAAGACCTACAAAAACAAAACATTTTTTTATTCAGAACCACACATCTACCCTGTGCATAGTAATAGGAAAGACATCAAGTTTGATCTCTTTTCCATTTCTCCTGCCACAGTACTAGGTATAGAACCAGGGCTGCATGTTGGGCAAACGTTTTATCACTAACTTACACCATTGCCCTGATATTTTTTTAGAAAAATAATCATTAGTGTCAGGCTTTCTTCAAGATGCTGACATTCAATAGGAGTAGAAAGAGAACTGATACTAATTGTCTTTTTGTTCAAGAAAACAGACTTCACAATGTAACAAAACTTGAAACATTTTGCTCACTGTACTGGAGTTCAAGTTACTTTGCAAAGTGTATAGATTTCATTATTAAAAAGATCAAAATGTATTTTAGTCAGCAGATACTAAAAAGGTCTTAAATGACTATATAAAGAACTACTACTACTAGGAAAGAAGGAAACAATGTGAACAGGAAATTAAACTTTACACAGCAGTCAATCAACACCAACCACTGAATTAACATATACAAATGCAACACAAAATTTCCTAGCCAAAGAAATACATCACCATGGCTGGCACTGGGGGCAGAGTACTTGGTACTTGACTTTCGGATGATGTTCTCATGAATCTGGGTCCACTCACTCTCATTGTTACATCTGTAACAGAAGGACAGGTTTTATGGCTCACCAGAATTTAAAACATCCAGTCTAGTGGCTCAAAGCGTAGCACTAAGTTTGAAAAGAAAAGGACTTTTCACTCTCCTGCAGAAATGAGTATATGCTTTACAATTAGATAAGGTTCTTTTACTGTTAACTTGGAGAAAGAGTAGATATTAAAATGAACCCTTACATATATGCATATACCAATGTGCATATTAATGTAACACATACATATATAATTTTGAAACTTTAAAATTAATCCTTCCTAGTATGCACATACTTGAACACACACAAACATACACACACATGTCTATAAGTTTTGGGGGGTGCCAAGGATTGAACCCAAGGCCTCATACTAAACTTATTTTCTGTTATTAAGCTACATTACCAGGTATACATATTTTTCGAGTGGGAAAATATCTTCATCTCTGAAGTAGAATTGAGTTCTTTCTTTTCTAGCTACACACACACGGTGGGGGAGATAATTCCTGATAGAGAAAGGTTTCTCTCAACAAATACTACTGTTTAGAAATGGCCATGAAATTAGCTTTTTCTTTACCATATGAATCTTTAATGAGGTATATTTAGCAGCTGAGGTGACAATTTGCATAGATATTCAGTAAATGAACATTTTCAAACCTGACTGATTAACACTTCAGCTTATTTTCTGCCATAAATGGTTTGTCTGTTTAGTGTTACATTGTTTTTTTTTTAATTAATTTATGTTACATCCCCTTCTCTCCCCAGGTCCTCCCCCCATTCCACTCCTCCTCTGTTTCTATTCAGAAAAGGGAAGACACCCATGGATAGCAACAAAACATGGCATACAAGTTGCAGTAAGACTAAGCACCTTCCCTTGTATTAAGACTGGGTGAGGCAACCCAGTATGAGAAGTAGAGTCCCAAAAGCCAGTAAAGGAGTCAGAGACAGGCCCTGTTCCCACTGTTAGGAGTCCCACAAGAAGACCAAGCTACAGAACTGTCACATATATGCAGAGGGCCTAATTCCCACGTAGTCTCTGTGAGCTCCTATGAGGCCAGGTTAGTTGATTCTGTGGGTTTTTTTTTTTTATGGTGTTCTGGACCCCTCTGGCTTCTACAATCCTTCCTCCCCCTCTTCAGCAGGATTCCTCAAGCTTGGCCTAATGTTTGACTGTGAGTCTCTGCATCTGTTTCTACCAGTTGCTGTCAATGTTATATTCTGATGGCACTTTATTATCAGATGGCCTAGATGTCATTGCTTCCTGAAACGTTAAAAAATAGGCTAATAGGTATCCCTTTCCAGTTTATATTTAAGCTGCAAACATGTCCACTTAAGAAAAAAGGGACCAATGATGTTCTAGTGATTAACATGGAGCTTAAGAGCTCACATATGGAGCTAAATAGGTTAGGGGAGCCTCTCCTGAGTGAGTCAAGTCAGCAGCAGCAGGTCCAAGGAATTCAGTAAAATTAACAGAAGAGCAAAACAATGTCATGTTTTACTTTTAATAAATTGAGAATTTAAATAATTTTTAGGTTTTTTGTTTGTTTGTTTGTTTTGTTTTTTTTCGAGACAGGGTTTCTCTGTGGTGTTTTGGTGCCTGTCCTGGATCTTGCTTTGTAGACCAGGCTGGCCTCGAACTCAGAGATTCGCCTGGCTCTGCCTCCCGAGTGCTGGGATTAAAGGCGAGGGCCACCACCGCCCGGCCTAGTTTTTTTTTTTAAAGGTCAGTCCCACTCCCATCCTCTTCCCTGTAAAGAGTTTCCTGGTAGTCATATAATCCTAGCAAGAGTAAAAACATCCAGGCTTCCGTTATTTAGAAAAATGAGATGCTATTGTGCAATCCATCTGCCAGTTCTGAACAATTATCTTCTCTGTTCTGTGTTGCTTTCTCCCACCCCCTCAACATTTCTTATTCTTTTGGAGTAAAAAACTTCAAGAATTTGTTGTCATCCAACTGCCATTATACCAGCCCTAGAGGAAAGTCCTACTAAACTTAGGCAATGAGGACGAGAATATGAAAAGCTTCCGAGAATAGTGGCTGAAGTACTCTGTGGTCTAGGTGATGGAAAGCTTAACAGACATGGCTGGATTCCTGAATGTGTAAGAACTAAACATTCCTTCTTCCAAGGGATTTAAGGATTGAGACAAAAGCAACAATAGAGGAAGAGCATAATTCTGTTACAGTCTGATATTTAGTGACTCTGTAAATGGTTAATTCAAAGAGAACTACTACTAATAAACTCCTCAACCTAATGGACATTCCAATGAAACACAGACATTTGGGTCACCTCCTGAAATTTCCATTTGACACTCTAGATTCCTACCCCAAGCCCTTGTTCAGTCCTACTAAGTGTAGAAAACAGGATCTGTGAACAAAGAAAAATCCACAGGATCTCAGAATCTTTAACTGATCACTCAGAAGTGCCCACTTCCAGAAGAAAACACCAGTGTAAGGGTTATAGAGCAACATTCCATCTAGAAGTACGATGTACCACAAGTTTCTAAATGAAAAGGATTGTTTAGAAGCCACTCACATAAAGGAGGCAAGTAACTAGATTGATTTTGTTAGTGAATCAGTAGCTCTTTGGACTTCTTAGTCAAATCAGTAAGCTTCATGTACTCCCAATTGTTCTGATGAATGGTTAAACAGAGCTCCAGAGCTCTGAGGATAGCTTCCTGCTTACAGAACTCCTTCTAAACAAAGGGGAAGGGAGAATGCTTTAAAACAATGTTTGTGATTTATAACTCAGCTGTCAGTAAAAAGTAAGAGGTGCTGGCAGGAGCATGCGCAGGTCTTCCTGTCTGACTTGCACATTGTCCCATCTTGTTCAAGTAGTCAAGACATTAAAGAAGTGTCCAGCAGTTGAGGACTCAAAAGACTTGTCTTGGTAACATTTTTTTTCTTGACTTCTTTCTAGATTTATGAAATTGCTAGTCACTTTTAGTTGAAATGTGCTATAGTTTTTCATAAATTACATCCTTCTTTCTTTACAAAAAGAAAGCCCTGAAAATGTACCACCCTATCAACCTCACCATCTCTGGATTTCTCTAGCAAAGCATGTATTGATCCCTTGGAAGACTACTGAAGCCAGTGTTTTGTCTATCACAATGACAGTGTATATCATTTTACCCATATGTACCTTCTACCAAACACATACAATTCAGATGCCAAACTCCCTACAATTCCTCTATGCTTATATATAATTTATTGATGACCTTCACTCACATTTAGTCCACTTCCCATTTACAGCACTTTGCAAAAAGAGCTGGGCATCTTAACTACTTCCAGTTTCAAATGTCACCCAGTGTGGCTAACCTCCACTTAGTTGTACTATAAAACTATAGCCCACACTCTGCAGTGTCGTGTCCACAGAGCACAGCTTTTCTCCCTAGCCTGTTTGCACTCACAGCTGCCTTCTTCCTGAGTGGGGTCCACTGGTTTGCTTAGCCAGAATCCTGCAGTGGTCACTATGTCCTATTTTCTATATCAAAATCTGTCACATCTGGACTCTTCTACTTATTGCCTTAGTTTGGTTGTTATACTCTCTCTTCTGGACATTATAAACATTTTCTAACTAGTCTTTAAAACATATTTCCTTTCCAGAATATCCATCTAGTCACTTAGCCACCCTTTTCAAGGTCTTCATAGGATCTACCTATCCCACTCCAACTTCACTGCACACAATGCTAAAGTTTTGACTTTTTAGAAGGTTATTTAAACAATCTGAAGAAGTCTTCCTTCACATCTCCAGGTCTCTCTTTTCCCTTGAAAAAGTCCAGTAGCCTTATATCTTTACCCATTTATACCCCTGCTGTGGGATGTCTTTTTGTACACTGTGAATATGTGTTGCTCTCATTGATTGATAAATAAAGCTGTTTGGCCAATGGCGATGCAGAATAAGATTAGATGGTACTATCAAATTGAAGACAGAGCTGAAGAAGGGCGGAGTCACAGCAGAAGCTGCAAGCAGCCTAAGAAGCAAGATGTGAAAGAACCGGTAAACCAGCCGGGTGGTGGTGGCACATGCCTTAAATCCCAGCACTTGGGAGGGAGAGGCAGGTGAATCTCTGTGAGTTCAAGGCCAGCCTGGTCTATAAAGTGAGTTCCAGGACAGGCTCTAAAGCTACACTGAGAAACCCTGTCTCAAAACAAACAAACAAACAAACAAAAAGAACCAGTAAGCCACAGGCCATGTGGCGATACATAGATTAATAGAACTGGGTTAATTTAAATGTAAGAGCTAGTTAGTAATAAGCTTGAGCCATTGGACAAGCATTTATAATTAATATAAGCCTCTGAGTGATTATTTAAAAGTGGCTGCAGGATGGGGTGGGACAGAGAAAAGCCTCTGGTTATATACTTCTTACCCCTAATATCTGCAAAGCAACTATCGGTTTTAAATAATTTACATTGGCATGGATTCTTGTATATTGATACAAATTTAAGGTTAATTTTGTTATTCTGTATATATGTTTCTACTTCAGTTTAAGATATTTTTGTATATTGATACAAATTTAAGGTTATTTTTGTCATACTGTATATATGTTTCTACTTCTGTTTAATATTTTTGTATATCTATACAAATTTTTTATACTGTATATATGTTTCTAATTTCATTTAAGATTTTTTTGTATATTGTTACAAATTTGAGGTTATTGTCCTTATACTGTACATCTGTTTCTATTTTTGTTTAAGGTGTTACCTATATAGCTTGTTTATTTATGCAATATAAAGTTTTAGTCCTTAAAAGCTATATAGTGGGGCTGGAGAGATGGCTCAGGGGTTAAAAGCACTGACTGCTCTTCCAGAGGACCTAGGTTCAATTCCCAGCACATAGCAGCTCACAACTGTCTGTTACACTAGTTCCAGGAACCCAGCACCTTCACACAAACATACATGCAGGCAAAACACCAATGCACATAAAATATAAATAAATTTTTAAAAAAGCTATATAGGATAATAAAGAAATACAGGTTATTAACCCATATTTATCAAACTTATAGTCATATTAGTT